AATGGAATGAAACACCAGTAATTGTTAGTTTTTCAGAAAAAACAACTCCCGTTTGGAATATACCTTTTCCAGCTATAACCATTTGTTCAGAAACAAAACGGATACTTAAGACTGAGGGTATGTAAAAATTTATATATTTACAACAAATCTTAAATAATTACTTAATTACCATTACTTAGGTATGACATATGCAAACTTTTACAACAATTTAACTTCAAGTATTAGAGCTGGAGAAAAATATACACCCACAAATATTACCAAAGACGAGCTAGATGAATTTCGTACTTTGCTACATATTTGTAACACTCAAATTATTGATAAAGGTATGCCTTTATTGTCGACCAGTAAAATCGATTATTATGATATATTAAATCAAATGTTACCAAATTTTGAAAGATATTTTTTCTTTTGTAAATGGTTTAATCATTTTGGTACATGTGATACACTTTTTAAAAAAACCTATACAGAAGAGGGAATATGTTATACTTTCAATGGATTAAGTTCAAAAGATCTTTATCGTGAAGATACGTATCAGCATAATCATTTTGACTCCCATAATGCAATCGAATATTCGGAGTATTCGAATCGTACTCTTAGTTGGTCATTACAAAATGGTTACGATACCGACAGTGGTTTCAAAACATATCCAGCTAGAGTTTTAGGTGCAGGGGCAAGAGCTGGCATTTTTATTGCTTTACAAAGTTTTAAGCAAGAAACTGATTATTATTGCCGTGGTCCCATACAAGGATTTAAAGTTTTACTTCATTCGCCTGATGATGTTCCACATGTATCAAAAGATTTTGTACGAATACCAACGGGTAAAGAAGTTTTAATTGCCGTAAAACCAAATATGATAACAACATCTATTGGAATAGATGATTATCATCCATTACGCCGCCAGTGTTTTCTTCATAACGAACGCCAATTAAGATTCTTTAAAATTTATACTCAGTCAAATTGTGAATTAGAATGCTTAGCAAATTTTACTCTGGAAAAATGTGGCTGTGTGAAGTTTTCTATGCCACGTTCTCTATACACACCTGTTTGTAATGAGGATAAAATTTACTGTTATGATAGAGCAGAAAATGATTTACTTATGAGTGAGTTTACAGAAGGCTTAAAACACACTGCTTTTAATTTTCGTGGGCCCACAAAATGTAATTGTATGCCAGCGTGTACATCTTTAACTTACAATGCAGAAATATCCCAAGCAAATTTTGATTTGGAAGAAATGCTTGCTGCTGGAGGTGACACATCATTTTTGGAAGAATTTCCCGGATCACAAATGTCGCGTTTATCTATTTATTTTAAAGAAAGTCAGTTCATAACTTCAAAACGCTCGGAGTTGTACGGTATTACAGATTTTTTAGCTAATTGTGGTGGTATATTTGGACTCTTTATGGGGTTTTCCATTTTAAGTATGGTTGAAATTTTTTATCATGCCACTTTGAGATTAATTTCAAACATTATACGTTTAGCTAAAAATAGAAATAGAAATTAATATGTAAATAATATTTAATAAGTCAAAAGATATATAAGATAAATATTTATTTTTGTGATATCAATTAAATTTTCCATTTTAAGTATGTTTAAAATTTTTTATCATGCTACTTTGAGATTGATTTTAAATATTAAACAATTAGCGAAAAATATAAATTAATATGTAAATATTATTTAATAAGTCAACAGATATTTAGGATTAATTTTTACTGAATTATTTATTTTTGTGATATTAATTAATTATATATTTAGAAAGAAAGCCATTAAAATTTATAAAATTATTTTTAAAATATATACTGTATAAATGATTTTAGAAAATAAATTTTTTAAATACTACATTTCTTTTCTAATTTATGTGTAAATATTATATAATAAGTTAACAGATATTTAGGATTAATTTTTATTCAAATTATTTTATTTTGTGATATTAATTAATTCTATATTTAGAATCAAAAAATTGTAATTTATAAAATTGTTTTTAATATATATACTATATGAAATATTTTTAGAAATAAATTTCAAAATAAATAATTTCTTTTCTAATTTATATGTTAGCTATACACCTTTCTTTTAAATAAAATAAGTTGCTGTATTATTATGTTGCATAGATTAATTTCCTCGTACACCTAACACTCATCTGCAGAGAACGTTGAGATCTTTTATTATTAGGTGTATTCGGCAGCTACTTTAAGTCGCTAATTTGTACACAAAACAACATCACAACCCTCTCCATCTAACAGAGTAAGTATAAAGTGTGTAAACATCGAAGAGACTGTTACCAAAGCGATATTGTGGACCTTCATTGGAAATTTCAATAAATGTTCCAGTAATATGTGAAATGTTTGTGAACAAAAATTCAAACAAAATTCAAAAGTTTCGCAATTTTGTCAATTGTCTACAATTGTCTAAATGTAATATTTTAAAAATATTGAAAATTGTGAAAAATAAATATTTTAAAGACATTTTTTAAATATACATAAAAAAAGTTTTTTTAAAAAGCAATTCGAAATTTTTAACTTATTAGTTGCTAACAAGTTTACAATTATTAATGCATAAATATTCTAAGCTATCATTAATTTTATTGGAAAAAGAAATTTAAAAATTCCTGCATTCTTAACATTGCTTTTAATTTATCATTCATTTTAATTTTCAATTCTATATTTGTACGTTCACACTGTCTCATTTAAACACTTGATGATATATATTAATGAATAAACTTTCACATTATAATGAGCGCATTTATGCACTTGATAGACCTTTATATTTCAAAACAAGCTATTAAAGAACTTTCTTTTGTTAACAAATGCAATACAAATAAAAATTTTGGTATTGTGTGGAATAAATATTTTAAAATGGAAAACCTGGAAAATTTCAAAAATATTTTATATAATGCGTGTGAAATGATCAAGAATAGAAACAAAGCAATATTTGAATGCCGTAAGATAATTGAAATAAGGAAAAAGCAAATAACAATACTTTTGACAATAATTGCTAGGAAACTGAGGAAGTACTGAACTTTAATTAGTACGGTCAGTAAACATTATTAAATAAAATTTAAAATTAACATTTGTTTTTTCAGAAAAGGTACATGGGAAAATTGCCCAGAAATCTTTTTAACATGTGGAAGAAGTTTCAGTCGAATAATGCGCCTCCCGAAACTCTAACACACTGCTGTTCTTTCCTAATTTAAAAAAACCAAACAATTAAATTAAAGTGATTTATATCAACATAATAAAAAAAAATTAATAAAATTACAGTATTCAACCTGTTTTTATTGTATAAAATTAAAATGTACATATTTAAAAAAAACAGGTTCAATGCATAATTTTTCAAATCACGAATATCATAAAAAATATATGTGTTCCGTCGAGCACCCCGGAATTGTGAATCTTTCTTCTCATAATTTCTCTCACCATTTTCCCACCATACTTTTCAGTATCTCTTGCCTTTTTGTTTCTGAAATTAAAAAAAGATTTAATTTAATTACAAATCAATTTTTCAGATATTTATTGCATTTATGCCATTGACTTTTTGAATTTATCTGAAATAAATAAACTTCACTTAATAATATATCACTTGAATAATATAAATTCAATTAATAACATATAAAAAAATTTAATATATAATTTATAGAATAAATAATTTATATACATTTTATAATTCAAATGTATATGTATCAAATATATAAAAATATTAAATGCTTACTTTCTCAATGCTTTTGTTTACAGCTTCTATTAAGACCGTGTGCGAGTTCGAGTAAATTGATGGTAAATTGAGGAAAATAGTAAATTATGTCGGTATGACAGCGAATGTTCGTATTTACCAGAATTTCGAGTAGCGTGAATTAGATAAAAATTAGGTAAATTAGGTGTTACTATTGTGAAAATTTTATAAGATGTTTAATAAATAAATAAATAAATTTGAAAACTCTTAATCAAAAATAATAAATAACTGCAATAAATAAATTAATAAATATTAAAGGAATTTCAATTTACTTTACCTCAATTAACTCGAATTCGCACACGAGCTAATTCACATTTTACATATAAAGCGCATGTAATATTGAAATATTGTGATGATATTTATATATTGTATTTTTCGAGTATATTTTCCATACTATGAAATTTGAAATATTTGTAAAATGTGAAATTTACTGAATTTAGAAGCATGAATTTGACTTTCAATTTCACAATATTCTAGCTTTGTGTTCTTTATTGCCTTAATTAATTCTGTATCAGGAGTATTTGCATGGTACCGATTCAAGATTAATCTAAAAGAAAAATTATTTTAAAAATCTATATTTGTTGTCTTTTTTTGTATAATTTGAAAAATACGTGTTAAAGACCTAATATTTATATACCAATAGAAAGACTTCAAAATTTTATACATAGGTCGTGTGCGAGTTAGGCTAAGTTGATGCTAAACCAAATGGGAGATTTTTTGGGATTTTTTGCACTGCACACATTTTGCCATTTATCAACACGTACCGACACATCAATACATTATCGACACAACTTAGAATTTCCCTCATGCAACTTAGCCTAACACGCACATGACCATAATATGCATTTTTGTTCAGTTTATCTCATTTTTTTAAAAAATAAATTTTTCAATATATGTTTATAAATAACAATCCAGGTTTCCATAATAACTGCTGATTGCTCATCAATGTATTAAAAATGCAACGATTTTCAAAGTGAAAACCCGAAACGATAATGTAAATGCTAAATCAATTTTAGCAAAGTTCGTTGACTAAAGTTCGTAATGTAAACATAGTATTAAAATAGTAGAAAGTTTGACTGCAAATTTTCAATGGTGATCTGACATAAATATATTTTTTATGCACAACGCAGTAGCAGTAAACCTCAAAATCAAAGGTAAACTAAAAAGCGCTTGCTCCTATTTTTATTGTTGTGTTAAAATAGGTATCTTCTGTTTATAAAATAAATAACAAACGCTATTACGTGTCATCATAATGCATTTTTCGATTTTATTTTATGGTATGTAGTGGTGTTGGGTGGCATCACTTGTTTCAAAGAATAGATGCTAATACGCCAATAATCGCGATTTCTGTTCTTCTGTCATTCTTTTATATCCCCGAAGTTCCATAGTGTGGTTGCTGGCCCTGTAAGTGTGGCATAATTTTTTAAATTGAACGAATATTAATTTTGCGACAATTATTATAATAATTATCGCATTTATTAGGCAAAAATTTCTAAGTGAAAAAGTGGTAAAATATGGCTGCAGACCAAGCGCAATTTCAACAACTACTTAGCTCGTTGCTATCAACCGATAATGATGTCCGCCAACAAGCAGAGGTAAGGAATATATAAATATAAAAATCAAAGGTGAGCCGTATACAAGCTTAAAAATTCCAATAAAGAATAAAGCAATGAATATTTGCTCACTTCTGTATTTTATTATTATATAAATATATATTACACATTCTATTTAAATATTTAATCTCCTAATTTAATTGATGAATAAAACGTGTTTTTTGTTCGTCTTCTTATTATTTTTCTTTATATTCTTTTACGTTCAAATAACGTGTGCAACTGCTAAATAAATATACCTGAAAAATTATAGAAAAGAAAATGGAAGAAATTTTTGCACATCAGCTTTATATGTTTTTCTTTTCTGTTTTTTTCTTTTTGTGCAAATTGGCTGCGCCTATAAATTTTACTCATCAGAATTTGAATCACAAAACGGAAATAAAAGCAAATTGTGATGATTTAATAATTTTACTAATGACGCATTTTCGGTGAAAGTGCATTTTCAGTAATTTTCTAGTTTATACCTTATCTATCATAATAAATTACTTATATTGATTTTAATGCGATGTTACGAGGCGCGCGTGCCAACAAGTAATGTTACCCCCACCTACCTTGATTTTGTATGACCTTGATAATTAAAGCAAAACAAAATTTATGTAAATCATTTAATAGCTGATTAATTTTATTAGATTTAAATTAAATATTCCTTTCATATATTTATTTCAAAGGATGCCTACAATGAGTTACCAAGAGCGGTGAAAGTTACTCATTTACTAGGCAGTATCCACAATGGTCAGCAAGCAGAGGACCACCGACAGATGGCAGCTGTGCTTTTACGACGGCTATTTACATCAGAATTTTTGGACTTTTATAAAGAGGTAAATACACGATATTGTATCGCATATATTGCTAAAAGATTCGACTTAAATGTAGTTAATATTTAATATTTCTATAAAATATGTTTGTATAATAATGTGCTGAGCTTACATTATATTTAATCCTGCATGGTTAACAGTCAATTAAATAACTTTCTATCTGCGAAGACATTTTTAAATTATAGTAACAACATTTTATTACATTCTAGCTGAAAAACGACTGAACTTATTAAGTTATAATATTTATATTGTTGGAAAATACAAACACGTAGATTAAACCACAGTATTTTTTATTTATTGGAATTTTAATCTATTCTAAATTGGCCACGAGAGCTAAAACATTTTTGTCTTCACATCTGGAACTAATATTTTTGAAATTGTAGATAATCGAAATATACTAATATGTATTATTAAACAATTTCTTTATGTACGGAGTTTGTTGTAATTTCAATTAAACCTTGATAAGAGCACAGGAAAATTATACCATCATTAACACTTATAGGACAGAAGTACTAAGATCAAACTTGCATTATCAAAAATTTTAATTTTTTAAAAGATATCCATACGGTTCAATATCAGGAGAGCGAAGAAAAATTGCGTAAGCCTTTCTTAGTTTTTGGTTTAGAACCAGAGAATTGAAGCAGATCGTTCCTTTTTGTGTTCTATATATATATGAGACAATATTTTCTATATTATCGGTTACAGAGTCGATATGAGTCCTTTGGGTGGATTCAATATCTACAAAACACAGTACATCCATTGGTTAATGCATTGTTTCGAATAGATAAATGTCGTATGGAATGTGACGAACAAAATCTAACGCAGAAGTATCTATGAATGATTTAGTCTAGTAGAACAAAGGCTTTGTATTTTCATCACTTTTGAGTTATCCAAACAAGATCTTTTTGTGTTTTTGCTCCTGATAACTTTCCCTGCGCTTGATTTCTTGATCATAATCTAATGCTATCGTTCAGATGTTGAATTCAAAGCAATTTTTGCTATTTAGATATCTTTTGACTGCAAACTATGTTCACATTTTAGCCAATAAGATCGGTTGAAATGCTAAAAATAATGATTTTTGATGTTCAATTCACCTTTCATTACTTTAATCACTAAGCTTCGATAAAATTTTACTTGCTTTAAAACGAAACTTTCTTAGTTCTGCGCCCAGTTTTGTACTGATAACAGAAACATACTCTCACTTCACACGTAGTAACTCTTCTTTTATTCGTCTAATTGTAATTTCTAGATGGGCTCACTGCAAATGATAATGGATATATTTTATTTCATTTATTAATTTATTAAGTTTAATTGTTTGCAATGACAGCGTGAGTTTACATACTTTTCAATGGAGTGCTTTTAACTCCATACAATTACCAACTTAAAGACCTAAAAATACTAAATCCTTGGCTAGATCACAATTTTAATCACCTCTTGTGACAAACATAAAAAAATCATAAAATGTTTATTACCAAAAGAAATGCAGTATTCCTTATGTTTTTATCATTTCATAGCATTAGAGACCCCAAATATATATAAATGTTGCAATAATATTTCTGTAAATTTTTCCAATAACCTCGCTTAAACAATAAAATATCTTCTGATTATTATACATACTTACATATGTGTTCCATACGTAGATTGTTTTTGATTAGATGTAAAACAGTATTTTAAGAAATATTTCACTAAGATTTATTCTCTTTATATGTGTTTATGCATATTGAGTTGAGCAGTATATTTTTTTTCTTTTGCCACAGACCAGCGGATTCCCGAAGCAAACAAATAGTTCTTGCCTCGCTAATGGAAACTCAAATCAAAATTTAACAAATATCAAGTCTAACGTAAGGCGAAAGATTCTGTGCCGATTCTGCAACCTATGGTGGGTAATATATGTAAAAGGATTAGAGCACATATTGTAGCTCGTGATTTTAATGTAAAATATTAATCAATGCAAATCGGTCCTATACTGTTACCAAATTAAATTATGCAAACAAAACAACCACTTCCCCGTTTTCTAACCATTTCTTCAAAATTAATGTTATAAAACGGAATGCTTTAACGCATACAAAAATCTTAGATTTGCTCAATCAGTATAGGTTAGAATAGAGTTAAATTCTCGCTTGGAGCATTTGAAAATTACATTCACCTTCAACAATCAATAAATATTGTTGGTACAAAAAGTTTTTTTATGTTTCATAAATTTTATAGTCGACTCTATATATTTGTTGTCCCTTTTATACAAAAAAAGAATCGCAGTGAAGCAATAAATTTCACTAAAAATTCAGAAAGAAAGCGTTCAAAACGACAACTAGCGACTTTATCGTCCATAGAACAACTATTGAAAATGATAAAGTGAAGGAGTTAGTTGGATATCTAGAAAAATTTAAAGGACGATCATAATAAACACAAAAGCTGGACCCTTTTTATTTTAGCTACTATTAAATATGAATCATATTAATCTTTTCCAGAGTGGTATATTTGTTATTTAGTTGTAATTTATTCTTGTATCAACTAATTGAAAAACGATGGATCTTTATGTTGAAACATTTTCTGGGGTAGTGATTGACATCCATCCTAAATAAATAATATGAAGTGTAAGCTTTTATAAGTAGATTACAATAGATTATTTTAAAAATGGCATTTAAAACAACAACAAAGCTGGCCTATTTAATCCAAATTCATTGAAAACGCTTAACCGATAAGAAGCTCTTAACGCAGGATTGTCAACAAATTAATGGAATTATTCGTTTTATTTTTCTCAATTTATTCCGTGCTGTGCAAATATCAGTACTTGAATATTTGAAATCTGCCTGTTATTAAAACGAAACATATTTGACAGCATTTCGAGTGTTACTACTCTGTGTTGCTTATATTATATTAATTTTTTACAGCATGTTTACAAAAGATCACGCCTTTAGTTTGATGGACTATAATTTTAAGGTTGTTTAAATTTTTTTGTGAAAGGTTCACAATTCCAAGATATATGCACATTAGTTCTTCATTGGCGCAGCTTTTGATAGAGCAATCTACTCCGATTTTTGCTATATATCTTAAGCCTCACATTTATCCGCTATCAAAAAGATTTATTTTCTCGTCTTAGGACTTTGGAGCTATAAAAGTTTTATTTAGATTTTAGTACCAGGGGCCGTATTTGCTTTTTACCATTTACGTTTGTGATCAGCTTGAGTAGTTTGCTCTTGAGTATGTATAACTTTTAACAATGCTGCCTAGTTCCTCTTGATTTTTGAAAATTTATTCAGTTTTTCTCTTCATCCTTTCCTTAATTGTACTATTTGAAAGTTTTTTGAGTTAATATCAAGTTTGTCTATTTACGAAAAAAAATTAAAGCAGATTTGCAACAAGAGCAAATTTGCCCCTGTGTATGCTTAAACCTTAGATATTTAATTTGTGTAGTTCTGTCTAAATCATAACAATGACCCAGAGCGTAAAATATTACCAGGCAGCACTATTTCTACAATATAGAATTTAAAAACTCCTGATATTTATATATTGTTCCAACAGCAAATTTAATTTACCGCTTCCAATTTTATGCCTTTAGAACTATGTTGATTCTGAATTTCTTCAAATTGTAACATCCTTTCTATTTCAAATACTATTTCATATTATAAAATTAATAAAACCAGATACAATATCAATGTTACAAAAATTTGTGGTATGAACCAATACATTTTCACATTCGGTGTAGCTTGAGACTGTTTTCAGTTATACGTTTCTGAAGGCTTAAAACTTGAGCCTTGAAATTTATTATGTTTTGTTTAAACATATAAAACTTTTGTGTACTGTAGTGCATAGATACGCAGCTCTTGCTATGGGTCTTAAAAGGTCTCAATTTTCGTTACGTCAAATTCAAAAGGTATAATCATTCCCTCCTCCGCCTCTTTTCTATCACAAAACGATTTTAAGCTTCAGACTGCTTTTTGTCGGCGCAGTTTCCTAAAAAGCTATTAAAAATTAGTAAATGTTTTCTCAGATTTAACATTGATTTATGTGTTTATATTTAAATAACTACGTATAGTTAATTATTTATAAATTAATCTATGTGGTTTGATTTTCCCAGCATTCAAATTAGATTTTTAAAAAAATTATATTTACGAAGACATGAGGTATATATTATTGTCTTGATGTTAGTAGATATAGTAAATATGGCTTTATTACAAAAATTGTTTTTAATTTAATTAATATTTATGGATTACATATTACATACCTGTTTCAGATACTGCCAAATACCTATTATCAGTAATGTTTTAAAATATAGTTTATATTGCTTTTAGTTATCGATATAAAATTTCTCACATCCCTACACCTTTGCGGGCACGCTTGGTCTCTAGTGACAATACATTTAATAGGTGACTGGAAATTTAGTTCATTTTTATCGACAAAAGAATATTTGCAAATACAGCCACATGATTTTAAAAGCTTTTTTGTACAGTATCCCGTTTTATGTATTTTATTTCTGGTGATCCAGAAATAATAGGATAGGTAGATAGGTTATACCAGCGATTCTAAAAGATTAACTTAGGCCCATTGTTTAGAACCATTTTGAACCTTTGGCAAAGATAAGCTTTGCTATTCAAAGGGATGTCTTGCAGTCGACTAAGATCCTCAAAAAAGAAAGCCTCTAAAGTAGTAAGGCGGCGCCGCGCATGTTCCGGATACAAACAAAGCAGATGAGGGGGACTTTTATTTTTCTTTCCACGACTGCGGCAGATTTGATTGAGAGGAACTGTCAATCTTACCTGAAATGCAGTGATTCAAGTTTTGTATATCTTTATGATATTTTTCATTGTCAGCTGTTGCAACAAAAATGGATTTTTGATTACTAATCTATTAAATGTTCGTTTCAAAACCCTTATTGTATACTATGTAATATTGTTTGCATAATGAAATTTCATGATGTCAAAATATTTTTAATTATTAATCTAACCATTGTCATATCAATCCTGATATGCTTTTTCTTGTTTCATGTTTTTAATTGATCCGAACACTTTCAGCGTATTTTATCTTATTTATATTTAACTGTTTATTATTCGGTTTCATATTTTTTGACTACTTCTCTTTTTTATAATCATCTGTTTACTTCATCTATATTTTCATTTTATATATCCCCATAAGTATTGTTATCTTAATAATAAGTAGTACATCCCCATGACTATTGCTATCTTAATAATAGGTAGTGAATTGTTTCGGAGGCCGAGGAGAGCCTCCTGAAATATAAAAATAGGTACCATATCTATTACATCTGCAAAAGATT